GGAGTGAATTTTTAATGCTTTTTAGATTAGCTCAGGAATGATCAATTATTTGTCTCCTTCTCAGATTATGTACAAATAATGCTTCACAGCTCACATTTGCCTTCTTCCAAGAAATTAGTGAGCATTCAGAATTAAGGACATGTCAGTAAAAATTCCAGGCTGATTTGAATATTTTTTAAGTCTCTTATTCATTAATTGGTGTAAGTCCAAGGACTCTGAATTTTAGATTTGATGAAAACTGTATTTGATGAAAGTCTGAGAGAAGCCGGGGTCGGCTGAGGCCAGCTCCCGGCACTCTGCCAGCACGGGGCTTGCAGTGACTCTGCATGGCTGAGCTTGCTTCAGAAAGAAAATTAACTTTCCAGCCCTACATTTAGAGAGCCTTGTTTTGATTTCAAAGTGTACAGGTACAAAAACTGATGCAGGGCCATGGATTACTGTGGGTTAGGGTGACTCACAGTTGGTTTGGTGGGAGCCATGAAAATTCACAGCCACTGAAGAGCTGGTCTCCTAGCCACAGACCAGCCTGCAACCCACCTCGCTCCACAAGGTCTGCCTAGAGCTCAGGCTGGCAAGCTGAGCAGGTGTATATCCCACTAAACCATGACAAAGAGGAGTGGGAGAGAAGAGATAGATTTTTGTAAGCCTTTTTGTAGCACCAACACAGTTGAGGAACTTAAGGAACTGGGAGTGTGGCACTGTACATTGTGAGAATGATTGACAGTTAATGGAACAGAATAACTAAAGGTTTGTGATATAATATCCCTAAATTGACTAATCCAAAGTGTACCTGTCACCTGCCTCCCTTGTTACCTTACATAAGTCACCTTCCCCTTGCTCTTGTCCTTTGCAGTCAGATGATGGCACAGCTTGTGGCTCCTCAGCACAACAGTCCCGGTCTAGGCTGTGATCTGCATCTCCTCCCTTGCCTTGCCTGTGTTGCTTCTTTGATCCCTCCTTGGGCTGATTTAGCTCAGCAAGCTGTCAGGTATTAACCCAGGAACATAAACTGAATAATTATGTGACAGTTTCATGATCTGAACCAGCCCACCAGTTTCAGATGCTAAGCTCCAGACAGGGATCACAGAGCCAGGAGATGGATGGAGAGAAGTGGAATAGTTGTTTCAATCAGAGGAGACATCTTTGGCTGTCTCAGCTGCTGCACTGACCCACAGCTCAAAGCCCTTTCCCTTCTGTGCTGGCCCTGCTGCATTTTGGAGTGCTGTAGCACCAATTGGTTTGGAAGGAGGAAGATGCTCCAGTGAGCTGAATGGTTACATCTTGTCTGACTTGCTGTCCAACTTCACCACTGTCTGAATTTTTACTACATCAGCTTTACTTAAGTCTATTTGCCTAGTTAAAGTTACTGTATAATTTCCTGTTGCAGTTGGTCCTTGACCACTCACTGAGTATCTCAGTTTGGCTGGTCTGCTGTAGAAACCTCATCCCTCAACACAAACACAAATGCTAATGTGGCTCCCTGCTCTGCTATTTCTGGCCTTGTTTATCTACAGGAGGAGCTAAGAAATAGTTTTGCATTTAAAAACAGGACAACCTGAACTAATAATGCTTTTTTTGATCTTAGTTGTTTGAATTAGCTGTGGATTAAAGCTGCATGTTCTACCACAGCATTAATAGGATAATGTTAGGCTTGATTTCCCTTTCTTTGCATGAGAAGTCTGTGGAGAATCTTGGATTTGCGTGGTAGAAGAATACATTATCATGGTAAACAGCATTTCTAAGCCTTGTTTGAAATCACCAAAAAGAATGTAAGTCTCAAGGTTGGCCTCAGTGATGATAGTCTGAGTTGGCTGAGCTGAGGAAAGTGTCAGATTCAGACTAAGAAACCAGGTTTCATTTCATCTGATGCTCACAAAATTGGGTTTAAATTGCATTAAAGAACACTTAGATTCAATATTTTGGGGGAAAAATGCATTACTAGAAGGAAAGACAAAAGCTAGGTAAAGTCACTTCAGTATTCCTGTGCTGGAACAGATCTGACTCACAGTTACTGTGCCCGGACTTGCTGTCAGAAATGAGGTGTGAAAACTGAATACCTCAGTGCAGAACAACTAACCTAACATTTCCTGTCACACAAAGCCAGTTTGGGGTCCAGAACTTGTGTTGCTATGTTGTCTTTCCAAGACAGCGTGATTGGATAGATGCAGCCACCATATTCCAATAGGCAGAAAAAATAAAGTAAAATTTGCTTATCTGTGTATGATCTTATGTGGGAAAATAGAACAAAAAAAAAAAAAAGGAGCTTTATGAGTGAAAACTGTACACAGGCTGACCTAGGATATTTTTTATGAAATAGAAAATCCTGTATCTCCACTTCATTAAAAATTTGGAGCTTAAATAATGTTTAAACATTTTATTCCTTGTATGAAACATGGGGAAAACACTGGAAAACTTTAAAACATTTTAAGGTCTGTTTAACTTTGTGGTTTTAAAAGGGGAACATGTGCAAGATCTATCTATGTCCCTATGGTAGAGATGTGCCTACACTGCCTTCAGCTCCATGCTGTTATTTCTTCTGTTTGTTTGCAAGATGAGTTTGTCATGATTAGATTCTGTGGGGTAGACAGACGGGTGAGGCAGCCATCCATGCCATGTGTGGGAATGTGTTCAAGGTTTTCCACAGCTGGTTCTTAGGTCTATTTACAGACAGGGAAGTGGTAGGAGCTGCTAGAGCTGCTGACAGGGTCGCAGGCTCCATGTGTTGCTTTGTTTCTCCACTTCAGCCATTGCTACTTCTGTATAACGATGCCTACAATCCTCACTGAACTTTTGGGATCAATTGAACTAAACCAGCCCCACAATTACAAAAATCCATACAGTAGGCACTCAATCCAGGAGGGTAAAAAAACCCATCAGGTCCACTTAGCTCGACATATTGTAAACTATAGAATATTTCTTAATATCCTCTTAACAATCTTTGCCACTTAAAGTAAAATATCAAAAGCAATAATTATAATGAACTAGAGGGAGATCAGGAGAGATCAAAGGCATCCCTCTAGCAGCCTAAATCCTTGAAGTAGCAGGTAATTTGTTAGATTTAATTCTCAGGAGTTAGCCCATGCCCCAAGCTGTAAAGATATGTTAAAATAATATCGGTGGTCCTCTGCCAGTCTGACCTGGGGATGATTATTTTGTGATCTGGTGGGATCAGTTTACTTCTTGATCACAGGAGCAAGTATTTGGACGACTTCAGTACCAATGGAATAACAGAGCAAGTTCCTTCATCATCCTCTGAGCGATCTCCAAGGTTTCCAATGAACAAACAAGTAACAAAACCAAAAAGCCAAGACAAATTATGCATCAAAGGGAAAGAAATCCTTCCCAGTACCAGCAGATAGGCAGTCCAAGGCATGAAGCATTAGGTTAATACGTGATCAGCAGGCAGCAATCAGGGCTTTCTAAGGGATGAGGCCCCAGACTCAGCACAGTTTTTCATTTGAATATAACAGAGCAGTCTCTTTCCTTGTCTTACATATTCTTTTACAGGATAGTGTCATATCATCAGATAATTATTTTTCTCTCATACTCCAGTATAACACAAGTCCCAGTCTGAATAGTACTTCACAGTTGCTTTTATTGAGTTTTGTCTGAGGTTCTTTACCATGCCTTCTACTTCTACTTTTGATTTTTAGTTTGACCATGCTCTTGCAGTTTGTCACTCACTGATCCTTTTGATTGCACCCTGTACCATCAGCCTGGCTGTCAATGAAAATAAGGGCTAAACTCATAATTTAAGACAGAACCCAGCACACCTGCGATGTCATTGTGCTGTTCCATTTCTGTGCTGCTTTTTTCTTTGTGTTAAAATGATTGGAATTGATAAGATTTCAATTTAAACTTTAAAAACTTTTCTTGGTATATAAGTGACAGCATTTGTCACTACAAATTCTTTTAAGAATGTTTATATACAATAGTTCCAAGATCTAAACGATCATTGTTTAAGATCTGTCAAGGGAAAAATCCTGCCACAACTAAATATGTAGCACTGACATTTGAAATGAGAGCAGACATGAATATTTGGCTTACACTTGAAGTGCTATCAGCTGCTTTCCAAGAGGAAGAGGGAGGAGACATTTCTGTAGCAGGTTAATTGCAGGATAACAAGCAAATTCTGTCTCTTTACACTAATTATTCTAAATAAATTCAAACTACAAGGAACCTTTCTATAATGAAGCCATCCTTTTCACTGAACGACTTTAGTCTAAGTGGAAGTAGAATTGCAATTGGCATATGGTGATGTATTGAAACAATTCAGGACTTCCATACCACTTCACAATCAGGGCTGTTCTACAGTACCCAGTTAGAGAAGTTCTTTTGAGGGCAATGGTGGAGGTACTCCTGTCTTGAAACAGTTTTCCTGGTTTCTTGGCAGCTGACTCACAGAAGTCAGGGAGGAAAAGTTTGAGTCCTTGAAATAACTTTTAGAACTAGGGAGATCCAAATCATGTAATGTTGTATATTGCCATCAGAGAGGGGTGCTTGCCTTGCCTCTTGCTCTCTGTTACATTCCTGGTGGCTCTCTGTACTGTAAGTGAAGGCCACTTTATCATCACTACAAACATCTGAACATCTCAAAAACTGGTTTGCTTGTATGTATTTTATGTGCCACTTTATCCTTTAATTCGGTTCCCTTGCAGTATTTGAATTTATAAGAAAAATACTTTTTCAGAATTGAGTCTCAGCAGAAATCAGTCAAAAGGTATGGACTTTTTCGTGTCATTGTTTGCCTGTTTACTATTACTCTACTGTTTGCAAAGACATCATTTGCAGTCCCTACTCCAAACAAATAAATAGTCTGGGAAGTAACTGCTAAAGAAGGAGGCAGCCAGATTGCATAAGGTCTGTACTGGGTGATGAAATCCCATATTTGATCCAATAGATGAGTGATACTGGTACAGAAGGGATTTAGTCTTGATGCAAAGTCTATTTGCGCTGTGACACTGACGTTTCACGTGGTGTGTTTTTGTTCTCCTCTGCAGAGCTGTGTACCCTGGACTGTGGCAGCCACGGTGTCTGTTCCAGGGGGATATGCCAGTGTGAAGAGGGCTGGGTAGGACCAACCTGTGAAGAAAGGACCTGCCACTCTCACTGTGCCGAGCACGGGCAGTGCAAGGACGGGAAGTGCGAGTGCAGCCCTGGATGGGAAGGGGACCACTGCACCATTGGTAAGGGGGTTTGGTACCCCAAGAAATAAAATACATAAAGTCTTACTCAGGTCTACGCAGATCTGCCATAGCCATCATTCTGTTTGAAATTGTTTTGGAAAAACAGAGGTCCAGAATCCAGCCAGGTGTAAAAAGGTGCCTCTGCACCCTGCATGTCCCACAGAATAACAGCTTGGCCCAGCCTTCTGTATAGAGGAAATAATAGAGATTAATTAAGTTTTCTAAAAAAAAACACACAAAGGAAAGATAAATGTCCTAACATGTTCATGTATGCACTTTGAAGTCAGAAGGGAAAAGTGTTTAAGAAATAGGTGGTGTGAGGGGACAAAGCTATTATTTACCTTAAGTAATTCTTGCATTAAATCTCTTGCCTTTCTGTCTGAGAATTTACATATTCTACTTACTACTAATGGTGTTTTTTCTAGAGCTGACTTCTAACAATATTCCTAATAAGGTAAAGCTTTCATGCCTTTTTAGAAGTTATTAGTCTACTACATAAATGCAAGTTATATTTTAAATGAAAAACAACAGGTTTTTGAAAGTCTAATAGTGTATCTCCCTAAAATATCCCAAAGCAAGATTATTCATAAATGTTTTAATTGTTTATAATAACGCAGTATCTACTATTCAGAGATAAGCAATGTAACCTCTTGCATTTGTTTCTTGGAAAATCTAGACTGTTTATCTTGATTCCCTGGCTCTAGAATTTATTTAATCAGATTTGATAAGTCAAGAATTAGGTTTGAACAGCCTAATTTTCTAAAGATTGTTTAGAGCAAGTCCACAGAAGGACCGATATACTTAAAAAGATAAATAGACTTACTCTTCACACTGTAGGCAGTGCCAGGTGTAGCCCCAGCCCCTCTGCATGCTTGTCATCAAATGGAGAATGATCACAAAATCAATGTGTTTTGGTCACAGCAGCAGGAATAGATCTGCCTGCAGGAAGAGGGAGACATTTTACATCTGTCCCACGGGTGACAAGCCATAAGCAAATGGTGTCTGTATTTTCATTTGGGTACAGAAGTTCAATCCATCTCAGTTTTGTTCTTTTCTTTTTTAAGCTCACTACTTAGATGCTGTTCAAGGTAAGTTTTTCATATCAGCATTGCAAAAAAATTAATGAAAATATACAAAAGTATTGGGAATGGAGCATTTTGTGTTACCTCTTTTTTGAGCTTCTGTACTGCTAAGTTCCCAGAATAGATAACACATTTGTTTATGGAGATATATATATATATACACACACACACAGACAGAGATTAACAGCAGAAAATGCAGTTTTTAACAAATAATGTACTCAACTCATTTGCAAAATCGTAGCAATGTAAGCATGTTTTACGTGGCCATCTGATGTGCTGTGTTAGGCAAATCCATTTTTTGTTCTTGCTTACCATCCCAAAGTAATGCCAAAGCTGAGGACTTGCTCAAAAAGCTTGTGTTGATAGTCTGCCATTAGAACAAAAATTTCTTTTTTTTTTGGTCATCGATGCTTGAAGTAAGTTTCTTTTGATAGAGAAATACCCTTTTTTTAAAGCTGTCTGTGCCAGATGTGATCTATTTCTCTTTGAAACATTTGATACAAGAGTTAAATTTTATGTTGCTTTGTCTCTGGTGCTGTTCATTTGATTCCCATGCCTTGCCGCAGGTCCTGCTTATTCATGTCAGCACAAGTTCCATCCCTGAGTCTGACAGCAGTCCCTCAGCCTGAGCCACACTGTGCAAAGCCCCTTCCAAAAAAACTGGTAGCTGAAATATAAAACTAATCATTATTTCAGAAAGACCTGGGTGCTTATCTTGTGTTTCTTATTTTATTTCTTCAGAATTAGATAATAATAAAAGCAGGTAGGCATTCATTTGATTACATTTATACACTTAGAGGATAACCACACACAGCAGCAAAATATAATCATGGCCAAGAAATTAATTAACTCAGCAGGACAGGGATTCAAAGTGAAAAAACATCCTCATTACCCAGAAGAGTAATGCCCTTTCACCCAGCTTCCCAAAAGAGGCAAATAATTGGCTTTTATAGTATATTTGGTGGTTGCCAACTTCATGCTGTTTTAGAGTAACATCTTCCAGAATTACAGCGTGAGAAAATGGTCCCATCCATCTCCAGCCCTTCTGAGAAAGAAGGTCAGACTCTCCAATCCCCCTGTTTGCACACGTGATTGATAAACTGTGATGAGGGTGAGAAAGAGGGAGATTATGTGTCTCGTGTAAAGTGGCCAGGATTTGTGCTGCCTGTGGGGCTGTAAGTCATGCCCTGGCAGACCAGGCTCGGATTGGCTCCTCCAAAGTCCATTTGGAGCATCTTAGGGCAGTCAAACACAATTGCAGACTGAGGCTTCTTCTTTCTTCCTCAAAAAAAAGTTCTCTCAGATGACACTTGCATGTTGATGTTCATGTGCAGAAGGGCTTTCAGATCCTGTATGTCCATGCTGGCAAAAAGGAGCCCTCTCACAAGTGATGCCACTTGCTCTGTCAAGCTTATTGCCAAGCTTTATCCATTGTCCTTTGGCTCCATGTGTGACATGGAGAGGATCTGACAAATGTCTGAGCTGGCACTGCACTATGCAAGCAGATGGACATGAGTGTACACATCCAAAAGATTGTTTCCTCTCTCACTCTTATAGGCAAGAAATCTAGCTGTGAATGTCCAAATCACGATTGATTCAGAGCTTGCAAGTATATAATCCAGAGGATGCTACAGCCCCTGTGTCAGTTTTGATCTAGAATCAGCACCACTAAAGGCCACATGGTGCTGATTCTAAAAAGCCATTTTAGAATCAGCTGTAGTGGAAGAAAGTGAAATGGGACATTGGAAGGCAATGCTCCCTCAATTGCCTTTGGTGGAAAGAGTTGTGTTGTAGCATAAGTCAAATTGGCTTTTTCTCAGTCAGATGAGTATTTATGAACAGAATAAAAAGGTCACCTCCACTCCCTGCAATGTGTAGGATTATGTCCACAAATGCCAGTTTGTCATTTAGACGATATTGCCCATGTGTATCTTTGATATAAATCTTGATTATGTATATGATTTCCTTTGTGAACTACAGCTTATTTTTCAATAAGCAGAGAAAGAGATGGACACGGCAGGCTTTGTGACTTTATAACTTATAACTTTCCTCACTTTTTTTGCTGCACACAAAATATTACACACTAAAAAAATCCTCATTCCTTGCTGAGAAATTACTTTTGGGCGAGCAAAGGGAAAGACCAGGTTGGGGATTTTTCCATCTTTGGCCAAAAATTTAAATGGCTTGCAAGGCAGCTGTGATCATTTGAAGGCAGCAAGTATAGTACTAGAAGTGGGAATGTTAATGAATAATTTCAACTGTAAAATAGGAGAAGAAAATTCCTTCATGAAGGCTTCTTTTTTTACATTTTCTTTTTTAGATGGTTGCCCAGGTCTCTGTTATGGAAATGGGAGATGCACTCTTGATCAGAATGGATGGCACTGTGTTTGTCAAGTGGGCTGGAGTGGCTCAGGATGTAACATTGTCATGGAAATGGTGTGTGGAGATAACCTGGACAATGATGGAGGTATGATACATAATTCATGTGTCTCTGTTTATTTGTCACATCCTTGACTGCCATTTGAGTCTATGGTTTTGATGTATGTTTTCTTTCTTATCACAAAATGTCGATGTTTGTCTATGTGCTCAAGACAGTTATTCCGTTGACTTCATCTGAAGCAGCACAGTGAGGGAACAGATCCTTGTGCTAGATGCTGCTCAAGGCAGAAAGTATCTGTGTGCCATATCTACCATCCCAGTACTTGATTTTTTCTTATAAAAAGCAAAACAAAACAAAAGTGTAACAAATAATTTCTTCCATCTTCTTTCCACTCTTCCTCATAACTCTGTCATCTCTTTCAGAAAAGGCAGCCAATAGATACCCGAAACAAAAAAAACCTCTTTCTCATTCAGATAGTGAATTCAAGGCCATGTTAGAAAGGCTTTGAGAAACTGGGTCTAGTGGAAGATGTCCCTGCCTATGACGGGAGATTGGAACAAGATGATCTTTAAGGTGCCTTCCAATCCAAACCATTCTATGATTCTATGATCTGTCCCAAGCACAGTTACATTTTTTTCCTTAGATTGTACATGAGATGCATTGAAATATATATTACCTAATTGTGTCACAGTTAGACCATATCCGTGTCCTGGGTGAGATCTCATGCTCAACTGTAGGGCCAAATCTTGGTCTAATGATTGTCTGGTTTTTTTCTAGGTCATTGATAAATTAAGCTTGTTGTAGGTCCAAGAACTGAGGTCACTGTGGGACCTCAATAGAAACATTCTGACTCAGTGATGATTCCACATTTACAGATATATTTTGAGACCTTCTGATTTTGTATCCTGTGGCCTCTAAGACCCTGCTGTCCTTTGGCAAAGGTTTCCTTGTTTCTGAACCCCATTCAAAATTGCCTTATTCCTCTCTTATGCTTCCTTTTCCACCTTACTTCCAAGAGGTCCAACAACCGTCTCTCTGCCCACTGTCTCTTCTCTCCTACACTGGTGTGTATCCCTTTCACACAAGGTCCCACAGCTGGCATCGCTGCCCCCCTGTGCTTTCCCATCTGTCAGTGCTCTCCCCTGCTGGCCAAGCTACTGACTCACTCTTAAATCTGTCCACTAAAGCCCTGTTTAGCCTGTAATGTATGTAAAGCATTTTCTGATGCACTCTGTGAACTGGCTCTGTATAAACTGCCCTGTATTGTGATTTTGGGTGCTTTATATTCTGCAATAACGGTGAGTTATTGGAAGAGTTGGCAGTTTTAACTCTAAATCTCCTTGAATTTGTCAGTTTAAGGCAGACACTTAACATCATTTCACTGCAGGTTTTAAAAGCAATTTTCTTTTTCCTTTTTAATGGCAACATAACATGGACTAGGACAGTTCTGTTGACATTACAATTAGAGATAAGTGCAGAGAGAAATATTTAATTAATCTGACTACTACAGATGGGCTAAATGTAATTAAGTTTCCTTCACAATCAATTTTGTATAAGAAAAGAAAATTATATCTACATATTATAACCACTTCTCTTTATATATATGAAGTTCACAGGACCTGATTTGGCGTAAGTATAAAGTAGAAAAATTCCCCTAAAGTCATTGAAGTTATACCAGTGTTTAATATGAAATCAAAAGCGGATTCCTAGTGGTTTAGGGTTTGTATACCAACACAATAGTAAAAACAGAAATTAGGAAGGAGATATGACATTACCTGTTAAGTCCTGTTTGATGGTGGTTGAGCCTTAGACTGTGAGGATATTATGGTGACCTAACGAGTTTGCATTCATCAAGCTCCATAACTGGATTAGGTTCATAAGGATAGAAGCTATTAGCATTTCTGCCTGCAGTTGTTGTGAATTAAGAGCATGCACTCAGTTGAGTTACAGAGCTGACAGGTAATAACTTCCTGAGCCATTAAGATATGATCATACTCAGTCAGTAATACAAAGCCCAAGAGATCATGCTCTAGACACAACTTAATGCCCTTGTATATTCCAAATCACAGAATTCTCACCTAGAAAAATCTTAATCCTTCCACTTGTGTTTAAATCAAACATTTATATCGCAGTCCTCAGGAGTCCTATTGTGTTTCAAGTTTGTTAGGAGGAAGTTACCACCAAAGAACAAAGCTGTAGTAAATGTGAACAATTATTATGTCAAACAAACTCCAATTTTAGGACTTAAGCAGAGGCATAATTTTGTGTAGTTTTCAATTGATTTATTATATAGTACTTTCGGGGACTGAAAAACTGAAATTTAAATTAAATTAAATTGACATTTAAAACTACAATTCAAATACAGGTTAGTCTTAACTATAAGGATTGAATAATGTCATTTATTTGGCATGAGGAAGTGTTAGTGTTGTTCTTTGGCCTGTATTAAGAGCACAAAAGCTTTGGGAGAGGGAAAGCCTATAATTCATTTTTTAAGGAACGACATATTAGTATAAAGAAAAGCCACAAGTATATTCACAGGCATCCTGGTCCTGCAGCCACTGAAGCACCGAGTTCCCATCAGTGCAGTTCCTTGTGGGGGTAAGATAAAACACGTGTGGGACTATTCTCCTGAGCAGGGAGAGCACAATTTCTTTTAGAGCCCCATTAGGATTCACTGCACTTGTACCCTGGCTGTACCAAAACTGCCTTTCCCATTCCAGCTCATAACTCTCTGTTAGCTCTTTCCTACTCGCAGACTTAAGGGCATGTTTACCTGTTCAAATATCACTACAAATATCATTGGAAAGGTCTTAGCATTATAACAGATGCACGACAGCATGGTTTGCACTTGCTCTCGTGGAGTGCATCTGCAGTCTGTTAGCAGTGTGATGTCCATTAGAAAATGCCAAGAAGTCAAGCAGATGTCCTTTGTAGTGGGGCCTTTGTCTCGCCGTGGCTTCTCACACCATCACACCATCACATTATTCCCCATTTCTTATTCTTATTCTTTCTCTGTCGTGACTGACATGATTTCACTTTATAAGATGATCATTCAGCTCATCTGAGCCGGTCATTTTCTCCTGTCCTGCCATTAATTAAGACTCACTGGAAGCTTCAGTAGCTCCAGAAGATTGCTTGAAAGCTCTGCAGAGCTTTCACAGGTGAGGACCTGTATCTTGGGCACAGGACGCTACCACAATGTGGGGGGACACAAAACACTGAGCTCCCACTCATGGGACACCCCTCACTCTGCCAAGCCACAATTTTCCTGTTCTTTGGACATGTGTTTACCCTGCTGCTGCACATATAGGTCTTTGTCTGCAGCTGAAAGTTGCGGCCTGTCACTCCCATTAATGTCTTTGATATGGATCTCTCTTTTAAATTTGCCTGCATCTCTCTTTATTGTTTTTCTTTCATGAATCAATCTTTCCCGTTTGTTTTTAAGGAAAATACTATTTACTACTAGCTTTGAATTCTCTTTCAAATATCCATTCAGTCACTTCAGACAGTTATTGTAGCTTTCTCCAAGCTTTTCCAAGCACAAGGAAATATATGACTCAGCATAGCCTTGGGTTGATAACCAGTGCTACTAAAATATTGATGTATTTCTGACCCATCCATTGGCATTTTAATAACCTATCTATCATAGAGATATTGAGTCCATATATAAGTAATATGCTATTATTACTCAATATAAGTAATACTGATGGGAATGGTTTTCATTGTTGCTGAGCAGCGAGGACTCCCCAGGGATACTTACAGTTTCTGAAAACCTGATATATTTGTATTGTCCTATGTGTGGAAGGCCAAACACCACTGGTACTCACTGAATAAAACAGCCTTTCCACAGGCACCCTGCTGGGTTTCCTGATACAAACACCAGTGTTCCCGGTTAACAGCCTCGCTTTCTGCTGCCTGCTATGTATTATGGCTAAAATTTGGGCAATTTGAATTAATGCATATGAATAAGCATTAGATGCTCATGACAGTTGCTGCTGCTGCTGCTGCTTAGTCTCTTCTGAAGTTACTCTTTGATTCCTTTTGCTTGGATTCCTGGCAACCCTAATTAGACTGAACTGAGCCTGTGGTGAAACAAGTCAGCACAGGCAATGTTTAATGCGTATTTGAAATCTGTAAAAGAAAACAAGTAAACGTGGGTTGGAGACGCCTGTGGATTTTTTTTCCACAAACAACACTAGTATTGAACAATTGATCATGTGAGTGTACTGAAAAGTGCAAATCCTTCAAATGTTGAGAGTCATAGTGTTTAGTATTTTAGGTTGCACTGAATAGGAGTTCAGAGAAAAAAATCTGCTTACTGCAAGGAGGAACTTCAATTCCATTTTTTACTTTTGGTGAAAATATTCTGGACATAGATCTCACAGCTCAGTCACTGGTGCTCACTCCAGCACAGAGGGAGTGGGAGTGCACTGACACACACACACAGCTCTGGGTTGCTCTGCAGCAGTGAAATGAAGCTCATTGGTATTCATAGAATTATAGAATATCCTGAGTTGGAAAGGACCCACAAGGATCATTACAGTCCAACTCCTGACCCCGCACAGGACAACCCCAAAAACTGCACCATGTGCCTGAGAGTGTTGTCAAACACTTCTGAACTCCATCAGACTTGATGCTGTGACCACTTTCCTGAATTCCCTTAGCCAACCACCCTCTGGGTGAAGAGCCTTTTCCTAATATCCAGCCTAACCCTCCCCTGACACAACGTCAGGCAATTCCCTTGGGTCCTGTCTCTGGTCACCAGAGGGAAGAGGTCAGTGCCTGTCCCTTCACAGCCCCTCATGAGGAAGTTGTAGACTGTGATGAGTTCTCCCCTCAGTCTCCAGTTCTCCAGGCTGAACAAGACAAGTGACCTCAGATGCTCCTCATATGTTTTCCCCTCTAGGCCTTTCACCATCTTCATAGCTGTCCTTTGCATGTTTTATAATAGCTTTATATCTTTCTTATATTGTGGTGCCCAAAACTAAGTACAGTGTATTGCTTAGAGATGGATTTGACTCTCATGTCACTGAGCAATTACATTATTAGCCTGTGTATTTGTGAGCATGTCTGCAGACATGTGTGCA